AGAAGAAGAAGTAAAATTAATTTCATATATTTAAGATTCCCAATTATTTCTCATCCGATTTATTTTGTATACCTTGCATAAATGATTTTGAAAGAGGAATTTATTATCATATAGCTATTATTGATTATTTACAAGAATGGAACGCTTAAAAAATTATTGAAAAACATACAAAAAAGGCCATTCATGCAAATATTGCTTTAGATACTTCTGCTCAAAATCCAGAGGATTATGCTAAGAGATTTATAGAGAAAGTTGCATATGCAATTCTATGAATATTCAATAAATATAATTTACATTTTGCTTTTATTAATATTGTACTAATTAATCTTATTTAATAAATATCAATAAATTTAAAGGATCTTATATTTAAAAAAATACAAGTAATATATATAAATTCCAATTTTTTCTTTTTTTTCATCTTTTCTCAAAGCTTTCTATTATCTTAAGTTGAATATTCTTTAAAACTAATAAAGATTATACAATTAATTCTCTACATTACATTATCAATAAATGACCATCATTTATTCACTTAGCTTTATTATTAAACAAATTATTATTATAATTTAATGCAAACTCGTTCTGCTTCGCGTATTAAGAGTTTTCATTTTGAAGGTGAATATTAACTGTTAAAACAACCTAATGATTTGAATGAAGTAAATTGCCAATCACAAATTTAACAATTCAACATTTTATCTAGTAATTAAGGTTATTCAAAAGAATATCAATTTTGCATATAAAATTTTATTCTTTCACCAAATCATTAATATCTAGCTGTTAATGTTTAAAGACTCAAAATCATCAATGATTAATTTTTATAATCCAGCCATTTTGATTATAGAATCCAAATAATAGAAATGAAAACAAATTTATCTATATTTAATGGAAGCTACTGGTGCTTAAATCGCTTAATTATGTAGTTTACATAGGATTCTAGATTTGTTGTGTATACTAGAGCAGATAGCATCGCAATTATTGATATTAAGTAAAATACAGAGAAAGTTATAAAAGTAAATGCAAGTTTTTACTCTTTAGGTAAGAATAATTAAATCAATTTAATCATTGATTAAAAAAACTTTGCCATATATTCATTAAAAAATGACAAATTACTAAATAATGTTTAAATTTCTTAATTGTTTTAAAGATAGAAATTATTGGGTTTTTGGAAAATCTCCTCAAGATTTTTAATTGCAGATACATAGACTAAATCATATCTAATATATAATAAGAACAAGAAGATTTTAAGTTTACAAAAAAATACAAACATCTATCAAAAATGCATATATATTTTCTAAAACAAAATTATTGTTATTCCGTAAACTATAAAGAAGATTTATTATATTAAATAACTAAGATCTGGTAAGTTAATCAGGAGAATAAATGACTTTTAATTATATTAAGGAAATGTATTTTAAAATTAAAATTCAATATATTTATTTGCTTATATATACAAAGAAAATGCATAAGAAAAATATAAATTTTATTTGTTTGATTTAATAAAAGGAGTGAAGAAAGAATTGAAAAAATAGTTTGATTAGAAGTATTAAATTAAATATTTTCCATTAATTATGCAAAATAATTTGATCATAGGAATTGATGAATATGGTACATTAATCAGATACTTTTCTCTCTAAATTTGATCAGTTAATTTCATAAAATAATACATTAATACTATCATTAAATTAATAACAAATATTCTATTCAAAAAATAGTTTTATTGCTATATATTTATCAAAAAGTATATATTAAATCTATTTGAATGAATAATTGGAATATTCATTTTGAGTTTAGAATAAATTTAAGATCTAATAATTACACTTAAATAGAAAATGTTGTTATTGTAATTTTTCTAAATTATTTGTATTTTACCTAATATTGTGATTTATATTATTGTCAATAATTCTATACATGAATTTGAGTAAATTCAAACTTATGAGTTTCAAAATATAAATAAATATCTAACAATAAATTATCTTTCCATTTAAGGAATATTAGATTAGAAATTTTTTTAACAAAAGTAGATGTTGATCTTATTCATTATATTTTCAATCTCAATTATAAATAAAAGAATCTTTAAGGTCTTCTGAAAAAGTGAAGAAATCTTCATAATGTTATTAATTATGCTTCGTAAAGTCATTTAAATCAAAAAATCTAAGTTCATAATTCAATATTTCTTGATAAATTTAATTAAAATTTAGTCATTGTTCTATGTTAGTTACTGTTTCACCTTCCTAAAAGAAATTTATCTCATTAATACTTGGATTTGTATCTATCATTGTTACCTAAAGAATCAAACAATACTATTGACTGAAAACTGAGAAATAAATAGTTCTATTATTTAGAATAGAAACTATTTATTTACTAGATATTTAAAATAAAATAGAGAAAACAAAAAATATTAGCTTTATCTAAGTCAAAAATAAAAAGTCATAATATATATAAATTCAATTCTAGCACATGATTATTAATTTTAAAGAAATGTTGATTAATTCTATTCATAAGATTCTTTTCTAATATTTTTCAAAAATGAATATCTTTAATGGATTTGATCTTTATAGTAGTGTAAGCTTTAATTAAATCGGAGATTATGACAACTCTAGTATCTGCACCAAGTTTTGATATAGATTCATTCATTTTTACATTTTCTGAATTTACTAAATCATTTTGTTCTTGAATATAAGTAATTGATTCCTGAAAACGTGGTGATATTTGAATTTCATTGAATTATAACATTTATTTGAATAATTCTTCTATATAATCATAATCTGGTAAAGAAGAATGAGTTAAAGTATCAATATATAATTAAAACTAATAAAATTGAGGAGGGAATGATTATGAAAGTAAAGTAGTATTATAAGTTTAATCTTTTATTGCGCCTATTTTCTTAATATCCATTAATTGATTTGCTGATTATTACGGCAATTACCAAGGTAAATTTTCTTATATTATTAAAACAATATACTATTTCTTAAATAAGCTAAGACATAAAGTAGACTCTCAATATCATCTTTGTAACCAAGTTCTTCTATTTTATGTGATTGACGACTAGCAAATCTTAAAGAACCAATAAAAGTATGTTTTAAGAATTATGAATTACTTAAATTCTAAGACAAACCAAAATCGATTAATTAAACATTTCCAGGATAAAGTATTTATTCTATTGATTTAAATACTTCAGATGATGATATCATTATGTTTTCTGGTTTAATATCAAGATGAAGGATTCCTCTTTTATGAACTGACTTTATAGTTCTTAATACACTTAATCCAATAGCAAGAATAGCACTAAGAGATAATTAATTTGATTTTCTTAGATCTTAGAGACTACAATATAATATTGGAATGATTAAAAAATTCCTAACTTATATAAATCAAATACTTTAAATCTTTAGTTTTTCCAAATTATATTAATTTTGGAATTCCTTCTATTCCAAAAAGCTCTTAAAGAATTTAAATTTCATTTTCTATTTATCTGATTCCTGGTTTTTTTTCAATTTTTATAGCATAAATCGATTAAGTTAAAATATGTTATGCTTTAAAAACAATATGATTTGAACCAGATCCAAGAGTCTAAGATATTTTATATTCTGAATTTAAAAGATACATTTATATTTACAAATATTATTAGAACATTTTAGGAAAAAAATTTGATATTAAATATAAACAATAATATGAAGTAATGAACGGGGGTTAAACATTAATAATATTCATATTTAGAATAATATCAATTAAATTTTATTGTGCACGCTATCTAAATTTATATTACCTATTTTTTAAAGTATAATATAAGCACATTCTTTGTAAATCTATTTATTCAATATTTTTTTTATTTTATGAATTCTGAACAATAATTCATTTCAATTTTATTATCAAAATCAGCGAATAATATTGATGAAGGAATAATCTAATTATATTTTTATTTTTTTTAAGTTAGTAACTTTACATATTCATTAATGGTAAATAAGTTGTATGACTTAAAAGATATGAGTTATAAGCTTTTTGGTAATAAATTTGATGACTAAAAACTTAAAGACATTATAATTTAAAACCTTCCTGAATAAAGATTTTAAGAGTTACAATAGATGAATAGTTTCATCCTTTAATAATACATGTGATATTCAATTAAATACTTTAGAGATATTGAAATAACATAGTATGTTTTGAATTATATGAAAAATTAAATTGATGAGTTCAAATAATCCTTTTAGTATATAAATTATATACATTATTTATAAAAAATGTTAAATAATATTAAATGAATGTGTATATTTAATAAAATTTCTAATTAAATAAAAGAACTATCTTAAATTTACTAGATTTACTCATTTTCAAATAAATAAATATAAATTTTGAATAGTTTTACACATATCTATTATTATAACATTTGGATGGAGATTCATATTGATTTATGTAATAATAAATGATATAATGATATTAAAAGAATTATAATTATGATAAACATGAATCTAATTATTTAATTAAAATGAAAGATACTTTAATATTATAATTTATTAAATAAAATCTAAAATATATATAATTAATTATCTAAAACAAAAATATTAAAATTATAAAGATAGATATATCTGAGATGATTGTTATTATCACAAACATTTTCAGATTTTGTTATTATTGATATTCTAATTCACAGCTATTTAAAATATCTATAAAAGATACTACTCTAAAAATCTAATAGTATTGTAATTCAATTTTCTATTCATAAACTATTAATACTCATTGTAAGAAGATAGTGTGTAAATCAATAAATTCAAGAGTGAAAGTATTTACTTAATTTATCGAAGTATTTAATAAGAATTTAATTTCAATTAGATAAAACTTGGATAGAGAAATTCTTGATTCAATGTTGTTAGACACTCATTTAATTATAAATAAATGAAAAATATTATGCTTTATCAATATTTTAAATTAATAACAAAGTATTCAATATCATATTATTGCATAAATTCATAAATTTATTATCTAATTACTTGAAATCGCATACAAATATGTTCACTTTACAAAGTAAAGAGAATCTTCAAGATTATTAATGTACATTTAAACATAATCAACCTGTCAGCTTAGTTAGTCTTTAAGAAAACTTACTTCCTAATGAGAGACTATATTGCAAATAATGTATAGATTATATTGAACATGACCTTAAACCATTATAAGGAGTTATAAAAATAATAGAAGAACCTTTAAAATAGATATTGAAACAATATGAAAATGATCTTATTCCTCAATTGAAAAAATTAAAAAATATAAATGGAATATTATAATAACTAAGAAGAACAATAATGTAAGAATTGGATGATTTGGAAAATAGAGTAAATGATTTTACAAATAGCCTTATAAATATTGGAAAATAGATGGCAAATTATAGTTTTTTTGATTGTTTGAATAATTTAATTATAAATTAGGGAGAATTACATATTAAACCAATAGATTTAATCAAAATTAATGATGAATGGTGTTGGGAAATGATTAGAGGCTTAGATAGATTCTAGAGCTATGAAGAAAATAAAGATATCCAAATAATTTTGAATTAAATAATGAAAAATTAGTTATTTTTCGTTAAATATAAAGACGCAAGAAAAACACCAGAAAATATTTTCTAATTATCACCTAATACAATAAATAATAATAATAAATAATCAACATTTGAAATAATATCAAAATTCTAATTAAAAAAGAAAGTAGATTGTTATGCTTTAGCAATCAATCATGATAACTCTCTATTTTTAGTTGGATTAGATGAAGGTATCAAAGTTATGGAAATCTAATCAGATATGTAATAATAAAAATACAATACCAATTAAGTGATAACTCTTAAAGATGTAGGAATCTATAAAGTATAAAATCTTGTTTTTTTCAAAAAGAAAACAGCAATGTTAAATTCATTCATATCAAGTTCTGATGGTTGCTTAATTATCATCTGGTCATAAGCAACAAATTTTTTTAATAAAAGTAAATGGAATCAAATATTTAAACTACAATAAAAACCTTTACAAAATTGGTTAATACGTAATTATGACATTAAATTTTTGTAATTGAATTCTGAAGAAAATCAGATTACTTTTGCTCTTAATTCTTAAATCCATTTTTTATCCTCTTCAAAATCTTGGGCTTGTGAATAAAAAATTTAGAATTCACTTGATGAAATTAGAGGTTTATCAATTAATCCAAATGGAAATTAATTAGTAGCTTGTGATCTTTAGAATATCACAATACGAGAATTACATAATTCTGAGTGGAAATTAAAATAAACTCTGCCAATTATTGGATAAAATTTTTGTTTTATAAACAATTTCATGTTCAGTTTCTAACCAATTTAATCTTAAGCATTATCAATCTACTCATTCGATTGCAACATTAGAGAATATATAAAATCTAGTGAAATAATTTGTAAAGGATTAGTTAAATAAGACAAAATAATCGAATCTTATAATAGTACCTATGTTTCATCTAAAAATTTATTATTAAGCATAAATGGAAATTTTATAAACATTTTATAATTTTCTATCTCTCAAAACTTGTAAAATTATGAGTGTAGAGTAGCATAATCAATTGAATTTAAGGATATTAGCATAATCGGTACTATTAGTGATAATGGAGAATTTCTAATAATTTATGATCCTACCTTAAATGAGATTTAAATTAGAGAAAATTAAGATTAGAAATGATATTAATAAATGAGTTAATTTCTATTAATATAAATCCATTTATCAAAGATTTCTATTACTTTCCTTTTCTATTTAAATTGTAATATTGGAATAATTAGGGAGGGTTTTAGTTACTTTAAAAGATCATTTAATTAATATTAATTCATAAATTCTATATCTAAATATTTTCTAATTAAAATCAATTATTATTTATATATATATATATATATATATTAATATAAAGTTATTAATAGATATGATGATTCCAAAAATGATTGAATAAATAAATGACCTAAATTGTGCTAATAATCATAATTTAGAACCATATATGGTAGTGTTTGATCCTAAATTGTAATAAAAAGAAAGGATATTATGTACAAAATGTATGGAAGATTTTGATAGTATGACTAAAATGGTAACTTTCAAAAAGGCATAATAATTAATTGAAGAAAATTAAACAAAATTATTAGAATTATTAGAAAATATCATTTAACCTAATATTAAATAAATTGATTAATTGTAAAAGCATCTTTATTCATTAAAATCATATTTTAATCAAGAACTTGATTAATTAATTGAAAATACAAAAGAATGGATAAATAACTTTGATTAAATCAAATAAATACATAGAGATTATAGTTTCTTTTAAGAACTTGATATATTAATATCAAATGAAAAGATTTAACAAATTAATGAATCACAATTCAATAATGAAATTATTAAAATAAATCAAGCATTATGTGTAAAAATGAAATTAAAATTAGAATAATTTAAAAATTTCAATGAATATAATTAATGTACTTAAATACTCAATAATATTATAAATATTGTATAAGTAACAAGTGTTACTGATTTTGAAGAGACTGAAATAAATAATTAAACAACTAATATTATAGAAATAAGTACTATTCAATAGGAGGAAAACAATGAAATTGATTAAAGTGAATTACAAGAAATTTAATATTATGTTTATGAAGATTTGTAAAATTTTGTCAATCTTTTATATTCTTTAATAGCTGTAAAAGAGCATTTTAAAGAAAACCCTAGTCATCCTATGATTGTTATATGCAGGAATAAGATAATCTTATAATTAAATATTTCAAATTCAATTCATACTGATTTGATAAATTAATATAAAAATACATTGAAGTAAGTTTTATAAAAAGAAAAACAAAATGCTAAAAAAATAATAAATTAATTCAAATTACTTTTAGGAGATGAATATTAATTACATATTGATAATTATATTTCTAATAGTTTAAATGATGAATTATCTATGAAATAATTGAGTATAGAAAAACTAGATATTTAAACTTCTCCAGATCAAAACTAAAATATTTATTCATTTCCTTTAGGTATTGATAATCAAAAAATTTTTAGTCATTGGATGAAATCAAAAACTTACAATTCAAAAACTTTTGATTCCTTTATTTTTAAAGCTATGTATATTAAACATAAATATTTAGATCTTACAAATAAATAACAGAGATTAAGATAATGGCTAATTTCCATTATCAAGTTTAAAATCAAATAAAAAATGAAATACTATCAATCATAATATCTAAATTATAAGATAATTGTTATCTAAATTATTAGTTTTAAGATACAAAAATTATATATCTATTAGAATTTATAATCATCATTTTCTATTTATAAAAGCAATAGCAGATAATGTAATTATAATATTATACCTATAAATTTTATATTTTTCTAAATAAAATTTTTATATTCTAAATAATATTATTGTAAATTTAGTTCTTTTTATTTCATTTGGCAAAATTTCTAGATAGTTTAAATATCTCATTATAATAATAATTTAAAGCTAGATGTTTTATTCTATATGGTTTGGATTTAAATATTGATTTTTATATCTTCATTAAATTATATATTATACATTTTACTATATAAATTGTTTGAAATCAATTTCATTAATAATAATATGTTATTAGTTTAAATAATATAATATTATTCTGTTATCATAATTCATTTTCTATTAAGAATCTATCATCGCTATAATTTTCAAATAAACTATTATTTATTCCATTCAAATTATCTATACGATTCCATTAACCGATTTTTAAACCATTCTTATATTCACCTTCATAAATGAATTTCAAATTTCTATTGATTTTATAATTATTAAAATACTTTTTATCCCATTTTTCATCAGGTTCAAACCATTTACTATTCTTCATTCCATATTCATTATAATCTCCACCACCACTTTAAAATTTATGATATTCTAAATTTTTACATTTATTTATCTGAGTTCTCTAAGATTTTCCATGTTCCAATTTTTTTGCCCATCTAATACTCACCATTATAAATGATTTATCTCCAACTATTAATTAAATTTATTAAATACCCTGGACGCCAATCATCATGCACATCTATCCATATTCCATCTTTAATTCCTCCTTAAAATTACCCACTACCACTTCTTATAATATTAAAATTTAACTTATATTTATCTGTTCCATTATAATTATCATAAGTATCCCATTTACCATTTTTTTTTCCATTTTAATAACTATCATGATAAGATATTTATGGCCACCTAAATAAAAAAGAATAAGAACTTTTAATGCCAATTATCATGCAGTTCAATCCATTGTCCATTCTTCACTCCTTCTTAAAATTCTCCACCACAACTTAAAAGTTTATGATGTAAATAATACATGGATTTGTTATACCAATTATGAATATTCCATTACCCTATTTTCTATCCATTCTTATAATCACCAATATAAAAGATTTCCTTGTTACCACTATCCTATGCATTTTATAATATACTTCAACCAATCTATAGCTAAATCAACCCATCTACCATTTTTCTTTCCATTATCATCAAAAGAACCTCCCCCACTTTACTATTTTTTATATTATACATATCTATTTGTTTTCCGTCATAAACTATTACAATTTCCCATATTCCTATTTGTAAACCATTCTTATAGTTACCCTTGTAAATAACTTAATTACCACTATGTATAATTTCTATTAAATACAATGAAAATTTATCATTCAATTCAATCCAAAAACCATCTTTTTATCCAACCTGATTATAAAAACCTCCTCCACTATAATTATATTGATAAATTACATAATTTTTTTTGAGAGAAATGTTTACCAATATCCTTATTTTATCCCTTCTAAATACTCTCCTTCATAAGTTGCATCGCAATAAGCATAATTCTGTTTAAAGTAATTTAAATGTAATTCAACCCACTTGCCTGTCTTTTGCCATTATGATCATAATTACCCCTTCCACTAAATTTTGATTATAAATGATTA